GATATTCACAATCAGTGATAAATAGCCTACAAATGGACCCATAGACTGATCCCAACAATTAAGTCTTAAGCGCGCCATAAACAATCAGATTTTGTGCAATTACTTAAGACTCAAGCTTTACTTGTGGTTTATGTTGAAGAATATTCTCAAGACTATTGGAACACAATTCCATATGAATTTAATATACATTGACTTCATACCATTGTCTCATATATTGGATACAATATTCTGACCTATTAACAATTTTTGCATTTCTTGCATACATTTCCGTAATTGGTCAGCACCTGTAAGTGTATTAATTTTGATAATTATAAATAATTCTAAATTTGACAAAAGATGATAAAATTTGATGATCTACGAATACAGTATAATACAATTTAATGTGGTGATACAAAATATATCTAAATGCCATTAAATTACTTTGGCATTTTATTTTCTTAACCGCATATTCTTGTTTATTAGATTTAGATTTAACAACAAATACTTCCCCAAAAGCTCCCGAACCTAATCGATACAACTCTTTGTAAAAACGCTTGTAATTATTCACTTCGGAAACAACTATAAAACAAAGTAAATTCATTCATTCATTCATTTTTCTTAAAAAGTCATCCAAAAGTAGTACTCAAAGGAGACGGGGATGTGTTGTAGGCTTACTAAAGAGTAATTCAATTATATGTACATTATTCATTTTTCCATAAATATAATTAAAATAATTTGTTTAGAAATTTGCTTAATTGCTGATAAATATTTGAAATTGTATTAAGCATGTGATGAGTACTGTAAGAATATATCATTTTAAAAATAAACTCTCACCAATTGGCTGAATAGGCTGATGAGGAATATCTTTGATCATCACCTCTGAGTGATTCACACGTATTAAGACACTGTCCGGAGTCGGACATCGATCGGAAAACTTGAGACAAATACTCGTTTTCAACCCAATTGCAGCACTGTTTATCAATAACCAAGATCATAATTAGTATACAATTAGGTTCAAAAATTTTATTTTATAACAAATGGCATTTATTTAAGTTTACATTCTACTATTTTTAATACGAAAATTAATATGTTAATAATAATAGGTTTTTGAATATGTTTTTCTTCAGGCAACTATTAAAGTTATACAGTATAACTTATACTGGTAAAATAACAAATTTATTAAAAACTGTAGCTAAATATTTGAATAGTTTTTA